TAAATAAAAGAGATAGAGGATAAGAATTCTCAGAAATTCAATACTCTCATCAACTTATAAATCTTTAAAATTGTTGATCTCTAAACTTCTCATATCTTAAATAAAACTCTTAAATTGATATCTTGTCCTCGTGGCATTTCTATAATATTTTTATGTAAGAAAATAAATAATATAAATAATATCATTTAGTAAAAGAAAAGAAAAGGAAAAAAAGACAAAACCTAATCATGCAATCACATAAAGTTTTACTTAGAAACCATGACTTCAAAAGTACTCCAAAATATTAAGTCCCCATATCAGAAACAACTACACGAGGACAAACAGTACCATCAGTGACATGGGCCCTATCTGGTAGGTTCAGTGGATTCGGACCGACGTTTCCACATCAGTTATTGAGTGGATTGTTGGCTCTCAACTTATGCTAAGAACTTGAATGACAACCATTGCATCCAACAAAAGGAAGAGAATGTTTGCGTAAGGCCTCGGATAATATTATTATATGTTAAAGGTGTTCAAAACATACAATTAAATTAGTATTTTTTTTAGGGTTTAAGCTCATGAGATTATTGATCATCCAATTTAGAATATTTATTCATGGAATACGGTGTTTCATTATATAACCAATCAAAAATACACATCAAATGGATTGGTAAACTGTTTAGGCTTTCTTTCCTTCTAATTGCTAAAGTTCGTTACACTAATTTTTGTGCATTGCCTTGGGGAAATAATTCAGTATCACTCAAAAGATCCCGATAGGTTAGTGAACCCAAAAAACAGAAGGAAATTGTCCCTTGAGACGATGAAAATTCCTTCAAAGGTATTCCCTCACAAGTTTACTCATGTATATGTTGTCCCTACAGTAATTTGCTTCCAAAACCTTGGCTTCTGAAAAGGAGAAAACCCTAAGAAGAAAGAACAGCAGTCAGCAATTCATGCAGTGTTCTCCATTTATGTGACCATCCACAGACCTCACTCATGGAGAAGGCAAGCTACTGACAGCAGCTTTAGATTGACAATATCAAGATCTGCTTGGGCTTGTTTGTTTTGTTGATTGAATCTGACAGCAACTGCATTGGCTAATTCTTCTTCACAATTGTTACGTTAGGTGACTCTGTGCTTTCTTCTGTTGCTTTATATCGTTTTCTCATTGTCTATGAAATCCGGGAAACACAATACAAGGAATTCCATTTCATCAGTGACTGCCAAATAACCTTTTTTTTTTGTTTTTTCTGAACATGCAGTCATCATAATGTTTCAGTAGTACTCATAATGGCATAGAGTTGCTGCCGTTCCTCATCTTGAATCTTCTCTCGGTGGAAAGTCAGGGTTCAACCATCTTCCTCCACGAGATGCTAATCTTTTCATCGTTATGTGCATCTCAGTCTCAAAGTGCACTGCATATATCATATAAGAGACTTTGATCCTTTGAAAGAGGAGAGTAGAAGTATAAATATCATAATTATATTATTATTCTATAAAAATTTTAATTTTAAAAATTAAAATTAAATAATGATAGATCAAATATATGATGTGTACATTTCGATATTGTTCAAAAAAAATTTATCTGATCTACAGGTATATCGTCGTCGGATTTGAAAGCTACATCGATATCGATATACAAGGAGAATTAGACTTACATTCTCTATTCTTTTTATGAATCTTTTTATTATTCATAAGATCGTTACGAGTGATTAAATAGAGGATAAGAGAGATTTAAACTAGATATATAATCTCAATAAATAATAGTTCATCCCTAGGAGATTTTATTATTTTATATGTGAGAGCGGAAGGTCTTGGATGGTACTCGAGATATCTTTTTTCATAATCAAAATCTAGTTAAATTTATAATGTATCTTATTTAATTAAATATAATCTCATAATTTAATATAGATAATATTAAAAAAAACTACTACTGTTGAGCTATAACTTGTAAAGGGACATGACATGACATGACATGAAAGGAGAATGCATTCTGTCTTTTGCTTCTTATCTGACATGAAGTCATAGCCACAGAAACACCTGATTGGAACTAGAAATGGCCTTTTGTGCAATAATTTTAGACCTCTCACAATCAAGGAAGTGGAATCTGATGTCCAAAAAAATTGATGGTTGGAAATGGCTCATGATTTCAAACAACTGGAACTGAGAGAGATTTCTGATGACTATACGCACTATCTATCTATCTGACTCAACAGCTTACATTATTAAGTTCAATGTTCAGAAACTTATTCTTGCAAAAACGAAGATTATTTTCTTATTTTGTTAAATATAATATAAAATAGAAGTAGCATTTTGCATATATTAAATAATAAAATATAGCCAACTAAAGGTGTAGAAAATATAACTCTAAAATATATAAAATGAAAGTTACTTATTCAGAATAAATTAATGCAAAATCCACTTAAAAATTGGTAACTTAGTCTTCCACATTCTTTTTACATATTTAACTGTTTTTTATGGGCAAAACTCACACAAGAAGGCAAAGATATTAGTAATTAGACCTATTCATTATTACATTTATAACACATTCGATATGAAAAAATTAGCATGAATTTAGTACAAAGTATATAAATTAATAAGAAGTTTAATTATTTTATTTCCTAGTTGTTAACAGTAAAGTTTATAGTCTGATCATAGATGTGACAACAAATAATACCTAGTTAATCATTCCTAGTTGTTAACAATTAATGGGTTGGTTGTGGCAATTATTGGAGTATATGAAAGGTTGGTTTTAGGTTTTTTCTTTCTTTTTATCAAAAAGGGAGAATCTAAAAAGAGCAAATTGTGAAATATAAAGCAAGAAAAATTGATGAACTTGATAATATATTCTTGTGTGTGCCCTTTCGCTTTGCTCCTAGATTCTCCTATCAATCAATGAAACCTCTATGTTATTTCATTAGATTAATAGGGTGTGCAATTAGCCCTAGAATAGGATTTGGGCACATGAAATTTCATCTCCAATTTTGACACCACAACATTTCATATGGTCATATCATGAGAAGTAGCTATGCAGGCTAGTACTCATTAAAAATGACTCAGTATCATTACAAAAGGTCATCTTTTCTTATTTTATCCATACCACTTTTGAAGGATAAGATACTACTCTTGGTCAAGAATTGTGCCACCTACAGAATCAAATTGTGAGCTTAACTTATACTACCAAATTTGAAGCCAATCTTAAAATTATGGTGCTTAGTATGGTCAGTAGTTGTTGGCTTGACATTGGCCATGCAATTTTTTAATAGTCCAATTTGTGAAATTTGAAATTTTTAGACCACTTCATATTCACTAAAGATACAATACTTCACTAACTGTGCTAATCTTGTTACTCATGATCTTTATATAGTAAATTTAGGGTGAAGATAAAAAAAATTAACTAATTTTTTTTTTAATAATGTTGTACATTACAAGTTGGGTTGGAGGACTTTCTAAAAAAACTGTATGAGGATACCCTCTTCTTATTTTGTAAGAAGAAAGTGTCTCTCTTGAGCTCCATCCAATGACATACAGATTAATTAGGGGAGAACAGTTTTAGGATGTATGCCACATTACTATAATTAGAAAATAATAACCTACTTAACTAGTATTTTAGTATTTATTACACTATTTATGTCTAAAGAATTGCTCTAAATTAAAAGCTCATTTGACTTCTTGAAAAAAAGTAATATCTATTAAAAAAAATCATCTTAATGTGATCTTTTCTAGACCTGATCATATAAGGATGTCAATTTACAAGAAGATGACATCCCAAAAGGAACTTTGATAATTGACACCATCTAATTTTTAGTTGGTGTCAAGATGGATCCTACTCCCTCCCGATAATTGGTTCAAATTGAACACTCGAATGAATTTTTTTGTATTAGGTCCACCAACATGCCCAATTATTACTAAATTATGTTATCTTATCCTACTATTTTCACTATAATTAAGCACAAAATAAAAATAATGTGGTCAATTAAGAGCATTAGCTTCTCGATTGTAAACTTCCCAACGACGAATGGTGTTTGTCCTCATCGATTGCATTGCCTACGAACAAACGATAAAACCCATGAGAATTTCTTGTGAGATCACTATGATTCGGTGTAAAATGTGATTTCTAGATTCCATAGAGAAAGGTACGCACAGCGACAACATGGTTGAATATTACCCGCTCTTAAGGTATTCGATGAAATATATTGGACAGCTCCGTTTGACCCTGGAGTTAGTCGAGACTTACGAGTACCGTGAACAATGCTTTGGACCAAGCTGCTTTCTTTCGCTATGCCTCTATCTATAGTTCATAGATCCGTTATCAATTCGATGTTGAGTCATATATTTACGAGGTGCAAAATGCATGCAACAACATGCAAAATTATTAATATTCCCATTATCACGTAGAATCAAACAAGTATTTGTATTCCAACGATAGTTTACGTTATGGTCTTTTTACCTGCACATATCACAAGTATATCAAAATAAGTATATCAAATTAATTTTTACATATGCATGTCCACTACTTCCCACAGCATCCCATACCATGTGTCAAGCATCAAACCCATACGTTTCAACCGAAAGCAACCTCCTTTGGATCGATGGTACCAAACTCCGGACTAGAAAACATGCACGGGGCTTGGATTTCTAGTTAGGGATGTGGATGGATAATATTTTCTTATACTTTTTCTTAACCTAGTGATAATTTTAATTTTGTTAAAATCTGATAAGAATATTAGGTATTTATTTTGATCATAAAAATCTCACTATTAATTTTTTTTTATCGAATAACGCCCTTATTTGTTTTTACACTGGTGGCATCGTTTTCCAATAATTAAAATATTATATAATTAATTAGATTCTTTTTTCGGTAACGGCACCGTTCTCACAGCGCACCGTGCAATCATTGGCAGGGAATGGCGGCCCATCTCTTGTCGGCAGACTCGGATGTGGCGGCCTCCCATTGGCTGTTTTCAAAGGATTTGGCTCCAGTGGCGGTCGTTGCTTCGTACGCCTCCTCTCGATGCCTTTGTTGGTTTGGTTTCCCGTGTGCTCTCTCACTCTTTCGCCAGACGCGTCCCCCAAAACCAGGTGCGCCCGATTCCTTTCATCGCCCCATTCCATTGCTTCATCTCCGTCGCCCGCCCACCGTTCGCTTCTCCAATCATTCCTCCGCCTATAAAAGCTTTTGGCCCGACGCCAGTCTCCGCCGCACACCAAATCCAACCTTTCTCCCCGACATCTTTCCTTTATTGTACAGCGAAAACAGAGAGACGAGGTCGACGAATCTGTACCGTAGTGGAAGAGAGAGCTGACGAAGGAGGTCGGAAGTGCCAAGATCTCTTCTTTGTCCAACATGGAGATACCGAGTTTGTTCCGCTCAAATGTCGAAGGAGAAGAAGAAAGCATAGCAAGGACGAGGTTTCCTCCTGTCCGGAAGATGCTCGTACTAAGTTCCCTCCTTTGATTCAGAACCGAGAAGAACAGAGGAGGAGAAGGGAGAAGGTGCATCCATGGAGGTGTCAAGTTCGTGATTTTAGGCGGGAACAGACGGAAGAGGAGGTGACAAGAGAGAAGCGGAATGGGGAAGGAGGCGGAGGACGTCAGCAGAGAGATGAGGAACCTTGTCTTGGGAAAGTACGAGATGGGGCGCGTCCTGGGGAAAGGAACCTTCGCCAAGGTGTACCACGGTCGCGACCTCCACACCGGCGAGAGCGTCGCCATTAAGGTCATCCACAAGGACAAGATCCGCCGGGAGGCTGGGATGATGGAGCAGATCAAACGGGAGATCTCAGTGTTGCGTCTGGTCCGCCACCCCAACGTGGTGGAGCTTCGGGAGGTGATGGCCACCAAGTCCCGCATCTTCTTCGTTATGGAGTACGTCCGTGGCGGCGAGCTCTTTGCGCGCGTCGCCGACGGACCCCTACCAGAGGACCAGGCCCGCCGCTACTTCCGCCAGCTCATCTCTGCCGTCCACTTCTGCCACAGCCGCGGCGTCTCCCACCGCGACCTCAAGCCGGAGAATCTCCTGCTCGACCACAATGGTGACCTCAAGGTCTCGGACTTCGGCTTGTCCGCGCTCCCAGAGCAGCTCCGCCAAGACGGGCTTCTCCACACCCAGTGCGGCACCCCGGCATACGTTGCGCCGGAGGTCCTCCGCCGCCGGGGCTACGATGGTGCCAAGGCCGACATCTGGTCCTGCGGCGTCATCCTCTACGTCCTCCTCGCCGGATTCCTTCCCTTCCAAGACGAGAACTTGGTGCGTATGTACCGCAAAGTGCTCAAGGCCGAGTACCAGATCCCGCCGTGGTTCTCTGGCGACGCTTGTCGCCTCTTATCCGGCCTCCTCGTCGCCGACCCGGAGAAGCGCATCTCAATCCCGGCCATCATGCAGCACCCGTGGCTCAAAAAGGGTACTCACCACAAGGATCCCAACCCCGTCCCTCCTCCGCCGCAGGCGGAGCCGGCGGCAGTGGAAGAGGAGCAGAAGCAGGGGACACCGAGGTTCTATAACGCGTTCGAGCTCATCTCCTCCTTGTCGTCCGGATTCGACCTGTCGAGCTTGTTCGAGAACCGGCGGCCGCCAGGGACGGCGTTCACGTCTCGTTTGCCGGCAGCGGCCATCGTGGATCGGCTGGAGAAGGTGGGACGGGCTCTGGGGTTCAGAGTCGAGAGGACGAAGCCGTACAAGGTGAAGATGGAGAAGGAAGAGGAAGAGGGGTGGAAGGGGCGGCTGGGGGTGGTGGCGGAGGTTTTCGAGGTGGCGGCCGGGGTGGCAGTGGTGGAGTTCTCCAAATCTTCAGGCGAAACCTCGGAGTACACCAAGTTCTGCGAGGCTGACATCCGCCCAGGGCTGGAGGACATCGTCTGGACGTGGCAGGGTGACGATGCCGGCGGCACCACCAACACCGTCGATGCTGCAGTGACCTGACTCGGAGCTTGGCTCAAATATATTAGTCTAACCACTACTATTTCGATTAACGAGCAATAGTGTGAGAAGCGAGAGCGAGTATGTGAAATATAATTGTTCTTATGTTTAGAGATGGAGCGATTGTGTATAGATTAGACTCAAAATTTTGAAGAGATGACTTCAAGTTTAGAATCGCTCACAGTACTTTTTTCACATGGAAGGAGCTTTTAACGCTTAGGTCTGATAGATAGTCTCTTAGAGTATGCGAATCGCAGAAGACACACTCCATAGTGGCAATGCTTCCAAGACATACCACATAGAGCTCGAGTGTGACTGCAATCGTTTGCTTGTATCATCTAATGTAGTTGTGGTTGACGCAATTTAATGGTCTTGAATTCACAACCATAAGCATGAATCATTAATTACTGTGAGGTAGCTGAGAGGTGTAATGTTTGCTTCCAGAGTTGGAAGTTTGGTGGAGGGACACCCACCCACCAAGGACAATAAATTTAGGCTGATCAAGAACAACCATCTCCCTTCTTTTCTTTTGTTTAGGATTTAGATGATCATAATTAGGGCAAGCTTAAAAGTGAACCAGTTTTGATCTTTCTTCCATCTTAGTATCAGACCATCTTTGGTTTCTGTATGTTCCAGTATGATGATGGTGATGATCGAACATGGATGCTTTGTGGCCACAATTAGTGCAGTTGCTTGCACTATAAAGCATAATAACAAGAATTGTGTGTAATCTTCCATAATAAGAAAATTGTACCAGCAACTGAGATGTGTGTGCTACAATAACCAGTCATTTTTCTTCTTCTTCTTCTTTGTCTTCCTCGGAGATGATCACAAAGAATTATGGAATTCAGCAATTCAAATATCTCAATGACTATCTTTGGATTTTGTACATAGAAAGGTATTATCAAGTCCCTTTGTTATTTACATGAGAATTCCTCAAATCTCTTGATCATCATGAACTAATTTTCTTTAATAAAGTTGGACAGAATAATCCTAGAGGCATGCATTATTTTGGGTTGCAGCTCAAATCAAGCTCATGCTGGGCTCAACGTCACAGCCCAATCAACTTAATGTAATTGGGCCTGAATATGTGGATCTAATTTGTTTTGACAAATAATATAATATCAACCAATGTGTTTAATATATGCAGCAATTATAGAAATATAATATTTATCATTTATGTAATTTATTTTTTTGTTAATCCATGTTATTTAGATAGTTACTATATTTTGAGTTAACTACTCTTAAAGGGGCAAATGTGATGCTTCTTCAAAGATTTCACTACACTAGTCACAACTTTTATGCTATAAACATTCAGATTAGCTAGTAAACGATGATTAATTGATGAAATTATCACACCAATGCTATTTATGCAGTTAATTCATTCATGATATCCCTTAAAAAAAGCTTTCATGACACTAAGATGCAAGATTTCCTAGGGTTATATTTGTGAAGATCAATAAGAGGATGATACATTGTTACCTGCAGATTCATGTTATTGCATCTAAAATAGACATATTCTAGGATCAGTTTTGTAGTCTGCTTCAGGAAGATACCACATGACTTTTTAATATAATTTTGGTGAATTTTCAAACATAAAAAATTTAAAATTTAAGTTTTTTTTTTATTATCTTTGTACAGAAAATATAGGTCCTTTGTATACGATAGATTATTTTTGAGGGTAGACAAAAAATAGTATTTCGCAAGCAAGAATTAGTACAAATCATTTAAAACTTTATGAAATCTTTGAATTAAACCTAGATAGACATATGTCACTATTTTTCTAATTAGGAGAATTTTTTTATTTTTATTTTTTCAGCATGTGAGCAATGTGTTATTTTCCTATTTTCTCCATTTTTTTTCTATTATATTGAATTAAGATGGATCCATCTAATGTTTTTCGACATTTGACCTTTTAAATAGATGGATTTTAACTTATGGTAAAAAAAAATATACAATACATTATTTTTGTGTGCAAACTAAAATTAATGCATAACATATCAAGATTGGTCCAAATCATTTAAATTTTTTATGAAAGTTTTGAATTGGATCGATATAGATATATGTCATTGTTTTTATAATTTAAAAAAAATAATATTTTTTTATTATTTTTCAGTATTTGAATAATTTGTTATTTTTCCATTTTCTCAATTTTTTTTTTCTATTTGCATAGAATTAAGATTGATCCATGCAATGCAATGTTTTCTAACATTTGACATTCTAAATAAGAAAACCTAAGATTAAAAGTTTATAAAGAAAATACATGTTCGGGTATATGATACACTATTTTTTAGGTTAGGTCAGAAACTTAGACCTAGATATTTTCTAATTTACTAATTTTTTTATATTTTTGTAGTCAGACCAAAAATAATGTATCCATATCAAGTTTAGTTCAAATTATTTAATTTTTTTTATAAAAAAGCTTTGAATTAGATCTAGATAAACATGTGTCATTATTTTTCTAATTTATAGATTTTTTAAATAATTTTTTATTTTGTAGCATCTGAAAAATGTGTCAGTTTCTTGTTTTCTCCATTTTGTTTTTTTGTATTTTCACTAAATTAAGATGGATCCATGTAATGTTTACTGACATTTAACATTCTAAATAGACGGATAATCTATGATAAAAAAATTATGTAGAAAATACAAAACTAGTCCAAATCATTTGAATTTTTATGAAAACTTTGAATTGGACTCAAATGGACATATGTCATTATTTTTCTAATTTAGAGATTTTTTTTTATTTTTTAAACATCTGAATAATGTGTCATTTTTTTTAATTTTCTTCTTGTCATGCCATCAAGTGCTTATTAATTTAGAGAATTTTTATTGAATTATCAACTATATTCCGCTTCAGAATTTATCATTAAGCACTTATTATACATGTAGAAATTCCAAAGCCAGTTGCAAAAATATTGGCAAAAGGTATGTTTTTGTTTATATTCTTTTATAATTAGTTTCATCTAAATTATGTTTATTAATTTATTAATTTTATCTTTGTGATTAGACCATTATGATAAAGGAGGGTCAAAAGTCCTTCTAGACAGTTGTTTGGGTAATTTTTGTCACTTTTCTAAGTGCACCTATTAAAAAGTATTTTATTTAGTCATTTCCTAGATATTCTCGGTATAATCATATCTCATGGATTAGTATCAACAATTATAAAATGATAGTATGAAAATAATAAGTTTTTAGTAAATAGAGTTGAACTATAATTTTCTATATTGAATGTATCTCTTCTTTCTTAATCTATCATATACTAGATAAATCATTGATCTGAAGATATTTGAATCTTCTATGTATCTTATAAGAATTATTATTATTATTATTTTATACGAAGGACCAACCCGCATGGATCTGGGAAGGTAAGTTATTTAGAAGAAGGCTACCTTCCCATATTGCAGGGTAGGTAAGTTATGTAGACATGTATAGTTTACAAATTACGCTATTAGTAATTTGGTATAATATGATTTGATCGTAATATGCATTGTTTGATATTTAATAACAAATGGTTTTGTGAGCCATGTCCCGTGCTTTAAACCATCAACACTAAAACCATGGAAATGATCTATTTCCATATTGCATTGAAAAACAAATAATAGGATGATACTAAATAATATATATGATAAAGTAAGTTATATATGTAATCAATCGTATGTTGTTTTGAAAAATTATCCTAATTGTCTGCAGATCATTATAGAATTAAATACTTTGTCATGTGAGGTATAATTAAATTCATTCAATTCAACATCTAATAAGGTATAGATATCAACTAATGAGGTATTAGATATTGAGTATTTAGGTACCGACTACTGGTTAAATTTATTTCATCGTAGCTTTCTTTGAGATAACTAAGTAATCAATTTCTTTCTCATTGTATAGCAAGACACTCATGAAACCTTCAATACATATATGGATGATGTCCATATATGAAAGATTAACTCGAGTAATATGAACCCCGACAATCATAATATGAAAACTGTAATACATTTGTTGATGCACTTACTACATTCATGTAAGTAAGGAGGTAGCCTCGGACATCATTTATCTTCTCCATGAGCCCAAGTGAAGATCTAACCTCGAAGATGAAAATTGACTATGAGAATGAGATGTCTACAATTTTGAAAATAAATTCTTAATAATTTTTATGAGATATCAAATCGACATGAAAAGAGGATGTCTGAATTAAATTATTTTAATCTTACAATCGAGAAAAGTGAAATCACTAAAGAGGACAAAGTGACATTAATCTTATGCAAGCTGAAACTATTGTCATGAGTTACATGGTAATTTTTATTTATAGCTTTTTTATATATAATAAGTGTTCCATTTGTTTGTTAAATATAAGTATTGATCAAAATATTTGATTTTCTTGATGTTATAGTTTATCAACCAAAGTTATTTAGAAAGACCGCATACACCACCTCACCTTACTTTTTAAAGTTAATAGATTCGAACAGTATAGTAGATGGAGATGTTAGTTTGGTCGGTCCCATAGTCCCATATCGGAAAAATCAGTCTTGTTATCTCTTATTGGAATTATAAATAAGGGTCTGGGCTTTGAAGTCAGATACACCACAAGTGGCACCACAAGAGGCACCACAAGAAAAACCTAAGTGTTTGTTTTGGGTTTAAGTCCACACTCAGTTAAATAGTTTGGGCTTATACTTTGGATTTTTTCTTGTTTAGTATTTTCGGGTGTTTTATGGCCTAGGAACATCTTCCTAAGGCATTTGTAATAGTCTCTTTTCATAGTAGTGATTTGCTCCTCCTTCGTTCGTGGATGTAGGTCAAGTCAAAGAGTTTCTCATATCTTAATTTCATATCAGGAAATTAAATCTGCACTAAAATCTAAAGAGCAGATAGACAGGGATATCACTGGGGAAAGTAGAGAGAATTAGGCTTAGGCTAAAGGTCTGGTTGTTAGGGGGAGAATAGATAAAAGGGAATTTGATAGTAGTAGATCTAAATCTAGATCTAAATCCAAACTGATTGATTTAAAT